GGGGGGGGGGTGGGGAGGGGTGCATTTTTTTTAGTTTAGTTTTCTATATTTGGGGGACGTTTTTAATTAATAAATTATTCCACTAATGCTTGTTGGATACGAGATGGTTATAGACAACTCCACGCTATGCGCCTCGTTGGCAATCTACCGTGTCATATCCAACGCGCATGAGTGGAATAATTGCTCACTATAAACTAAATTAAGGCTAGGCTAATGGGAGACCACACACGAGTGAGGCCATAAATTAACGTTGCTTGTCATAAAAAAAAATAATAATAAAAAAATAAACAAAAGGGAAGATTCTGTGTTCATTGTTCCAAGTCACCTTTTCGTTCTTCTATGTCGGAGGGCCAATCTCTACTTGAAGAAACACTGTGTCGTTGACAATGTAGCGCCTTGTCTTCAGAACCTTGTGGGACACAAATCTTGCAATGCCTTCCATGCTGCATGATACATCTGAAGTGAGCTTACTTCCTCGGCTTATCAGAGATTGTGTTACATTTTCCCTCCATGGCCAAGACACATCATCTTGTTGATCAATCAACGTAAATGTGACCTTATAATGAAAAGGCCAAGCCAGTATGTTGTCGTAAGTGCCTTTCATAAGACGGAGGTTTACTGAAAGATACTTGTACTTGTGTGACTGATTGCCATTTGGTTGAATACAGACTGATAATTTGTAACCCATTTTTCCAGTGAAGAAAGGCTCACTGTATATTTCACGCTCGGTTCCACTGATGGCCCGTTGTAAAATCTCGCTGAAACCATTTATCCTCCACACAAATTTGGAGGATTCACTTCTCAAAACAGAGACTTCTTTCTCCTGAGCGGCCATCTTTGCACCAAGAGCGACATTTTTCGCTGTCAACTCTTTCACTTGCTCCCTTAGTGTTATTCTTTCCTTGTCAAGTTCTTCTTGCTTCAGCTGGAGCGAGTTCATCTTTTCCTCAAGCTTTCCAGTAGTTTCTTTAAAGGTTGTGCATGCTAAGTCAAGATGCAGTTGCATTGTGGACTGGAGATGGGTTTCGACTTCCTTCCTCTGAATCTAAAAGCAGAATTTAACAAATCATTTACTCTAGTAATTTAGCCGACATAACAAGGGAACGGTTGGTTCAGAATGATCCGCCTATAGCTTACTTGGCTCCCTCCTTTTTCAAAGAGGGATTCGAACCCACTACCTCCCTCCCTCTTCAAAGAAGGAGGGAGTGGGTTAGAATCGCAGCGGGCCTATTCTTCTTGAATGAAATTACACTGGATTTGGCCTAGCTCGCGTTATCGGACATTAAGTCGTTGGTTTAACGTCTTAACGTAACCCCCTTTTATAATAACAATAATAACAATAATAACAATAATAATAATAATAATAATAATAACAAAGACTTTATTTAAGAAGGGTTAACACTTAATAACCAAAGGCTAATAAACTTGTTGCCCTAAGAAAATAAAATTACAAACCTAATGAAAAACGAACAATACTATGAATACAATATACAATATAATAAGTTAAAAGCCTAAAATTATGAGAGACGCGAATAGTTGAATTACAATAATATTCTTCTTCTTAACCTTCACAGATAAACTCAGTGAGACCGTTTAAGAATTGCTCTTCAGCCCGAAGGAGAGGATTTAGGGGGTGAGGGTGAATTAGGTGGCTAATCACCCCCCTTTTGGAGGTACGAAACAAAAAAATGAAAAAGGTTGTGAGTATTATGGCAGAAATAACGGCAAACTCTCTGGACAGGTAGCTGTAATTTTTAATGTGTGGCATTGCTAGTATTCCTAGAGAAACGGTTTTCAATTAGGTTCCAATTCTCAAATTGCAAGATTTTGGGAACATGCCCCATTGGTTCTGCAACCCCAAGTTACCAGCCACCCCCTCCCCTGGATCCGTCCACGAGTCTGTCTAGTTACTATTAGAAACCCTTATAAATCATATACTTAGTGATTAACAAATCGATTTCTATAACTCTTACCGTGCCATTATTACAGACAGAACTACTATTGCCTTCTTAAATAACTTCATATTACCTTTGCATTGCAGCCCATCTGAGCATACGGACAGTAAACCACGGACAGCGGACAGTGGTCGTTAGTATGAGATGCAATCTAAAAGTATCAAGATTGACTGAATATTATTAACTTGTCTTCCTTTTCCCAACATGCTTATAACTATTAAAATGAAACGTTGTCAGGGTTATTAGAGTAGGTTTCGTTGAGATAAAGGCACATTGTATCATTTTAGTTGAACTGCATGTTAAAGTAGTTTCCTTGTAAACAGTTTCATTTCTTGCGCACTGCAGCCAAAAGGCCTCTGTAGTATTTAATTCAGTATACATGTCCTCTAACCTTGTGCACTGGCAGAGGCAGATCCGGGCGCTCTTAATAGAGTAGGTTGTCAGGACCCAAATGCCTTTTCCCGCTCGAGTAAAGCGCAGAGGGTTCAACCATTCTTCAGGACACAACGCGTTATATTGTTCAATCGAAAATGGGGGCGACTCTTTATGGCTCATATCTTCGATTCACCCAGCCAGCTAATAAACCAGTATTGAACATGTATATTTGTAATGTATTGTCATCGGTCCTTCAAAGCAGACAAAAATTCAATCGTGACGTTTGAAAACTGAACCATGCAGAATTACTGTAGTTTGTTGATCTAGAAATTTTCCCGATTACTTCCGAAGATGCTAAGTTCAAAGGAAATTTAGAATAATAGAGGGAAACATATAAAGACAATAAAACTGTTGGAGCGATCTGTATCCATGATTAAAATTTAAAAAAGAACCTTAAAACAGATCTAAAAAACGTTAAAACTGAGTTTTGGACCGCCTTCTGCGGTCTTCTTCACAGAAATGTACTGTGCAAGAGCCACGGAATGCAAATATGTAGCTAAGACGTCACTGTTCGTTGCCCCTTAGGGAGGAAAACAGTAATGCATAAACTTGGGAAGGGTGCTCTTTCATGAACAGAGTTCTTGTACAGGAATGAATGTAATGACCCTAGAAAAAGCCTTTTGTCCTTTTTTTCACGCCTGTTTCGAAAATGCTCGCATAATTAGGGTATATGTCGTGGCCAGTGGTTTCGGCATGCTGTTTTACAGCGGAGCCGACATTCCCATTCATTCCAGGCTTGTGTTCAGCCCCCCAATACTTCCAACTTCTTTCTCTCTCTCCAACATATATAAATGACATGTTCTGCAACTCACTTTGTACACGATTCCTTTCAACTGTTCTTTTGTCGGCCGGTCCTTGGATTTCTTGAAAACATTACCCAATGTTTTTGGTGGTTTAAAAGTTGNAAGAACCTTAAAACAGATCTAAAAAACGTTAAAACTGAGTTTTGGACCGCCTTCTGCGGTCTTCTTCACATAAATGTACTGTGCAAGAGCCACGGAATGCAAATATGTAGTTAAGACGTCACTGTTCGTTGTTCCTTAGGGAGGAAACCAGTAATGCATAAACTTGGGAAGGGTGCTCTTTCATGAACAGAGTTCTTGTCCAGGAATGAATGTAATGACCCTAGAAAAAGCCTTTTGTCCTTTTTTTCACGCCTGTTTCCAAAATGCTCGCATAATTAGGGTATATGTCGTGGCCAGTGGTTTCGGCATGCTGTTTTACAGCGGAGCTGACGTTCCCATTCATTCCAGGCTTGTGTTGAGCCCCCCAATACTTCCAACTTCTTTCTCTCTCTCCAACATATATAAATGGCATGTTCTGCAACTCACTTTGTACACGATTCCTTTCAACTGTTCTTTTGTCGGCCGGTCTTTGGATTTCTTGAAAACATTACCCAATGTTTTTGGTGGTTTAAAAGTTGTCTTGATATTTTCGCGGTTCAAAATCCGTCTAATTCGCTTTGACACCCGTCTGAGAGATGGAATCGACGCATATGCTTTTGATTTCTCCGGAGGCTTTGGTTGTGCGTTGTTTGGTTGATTGACCTATTTAATGAAGTTTTCAGGATAGCCATTAACTTTTAGGTGGTTGATAACACGTCGTTTCTCTCTCTGTCTTTGCGCAGTTGTTGATGGAATGCATTTAGCGCAATCCATTAAGGTTTAACAACAGCTCTTTTGCTTTGCGCTGGGCTGCGTGAATGGAAATCTAAATACTTGCTCGTATGTGTGGCCTCGCGGTATACACCCACCTCGATCTTTCCGTCTTCAGTCACAGTGTTGTTGGTGTCCAGGAAGGCTATGCTCCTCTTGCCCATGGTTAATGTAGGCATCTCTATTGTAAACTGAATATTGGTATTTATCGAGTTTAAGTGACCGTAAAAAACCTCAACACCATCTCTCTTGATGTACGCGTTCGAATCGTCGATATAGCGGAGCCACCATTTTGGTTTGACGGGCGAAGTTTCCATTGCTTTTTCCTCAACTTCTTGCATTACAACTGGCTCTACGATGACCGCACTGACTGAAGATCTCATGGCACACCCCGATACCTGATGGTACTGGGTTCCCTCAAATATGAAATAGTTGTTGTGCGAAAGACAGGAGAGTAAGTCCACGAGTTGGTCTTTGGTCAACTGCGTGTGATTTTTCCAATCATCAGATCCCTCGAGTTTTCTCTGAACAATGTCTATAGCCATGACGATCGGTATGGAGGTGAAAAGTGAAATCACGTCAAACGACACAACCAGTTCGTCTTCGGACACCTTCTGGTTACTTATAAACTCTGCAAACTGTTTAGCATTCTTGACAGAATATTCGGATTCATTCGCAAGGTGCTTAGGTACAGAAGCCAGGTACTTTGAAAGCTCAAAGGTCGGTGAGCCAATACAGCTGTTTATGGCTCTCAGTGGTATACGCGTTTCTGAGCCTTCCGGGAGAGTGAGATGATCGTCCATTTGCTGCAGTTCCACTTTGTGAATCTTAGGTAAACCGTAAACCGACGCGGGTGTGGATTCGGAGAGGCAGAGCTTCCAGTCGTCTGTTTCGTTGAGGCTCCCAAGTTTCTTGAGGTCCAAGAGTTTTTTCTGTAACTCAAGCTCTTTTCTTGGTGTTGGATTGCGCCCCTTATTGCTGATTGGTATATAGACGTTCTTTCTTGAATCTGGTTACGGTAGTCGGTTTTCTCCATGACGACTGTACAATTCCCTTTGTCCGCTCTGATGATTACGATGTTGTCCTCACTTTCTAGTTCTTTGAGTGCTTTCGTCAGGTTTCGTTGTTTTGGTTGTTTAGCCTGCTTTAGAGCTCTGTAAACCTCCGCTCTAGTTACATCCTCATTTTCTTGAGGTAGGTGGCAAATGTCTGCTTCAACATAATCGAGTACATCCTTCGTGGGTGCGGTGTGTGGCGTGATAGCAAAATTCAGTCCTTTCCTCAGTAGCTATAGCGATGTTTCGTTGCCTTGAAATCTTCTTCCGGAGATATTTACGACCCATTTCTTCTTTAATTCGTTTACATCCATGCGAGCTAGTAGCCTCTTTAGCTCTTGCTCATGTTTCCGTTCAATTCCGTTCCGTTCAATTCCGTTCCGTTCCGATCCGTTCAACGTTTTTTAGACCTGTTTTAAACTCTTTTTTTTTTTAATTTTAATATTAAAACAACATTGAGCATGAAAGAAATACAATTAAACCTATCGAGGCGTAGATCGAAATTGAGCCACCTACCTCTGCTTGAACAATAATCTCGCCACAACTATTTGGGCATTCCACAGGCTTCTTCTCACACCTCTCGACATGATCCTACGGACATGCATGGAAACACATGTCTCACGTCTAGTACCTTTTATTTTCAGTAGTTCTTTCCAATCTTGTTCTCCGAGTCTTCGTTCCTCACTGCTGCTCAAGCTTGACGAAACGAGCGACTCTAGAGAGTTCTGTCACAGGTTCGATTTTAACTGGTTTTATAAACAATGGTAATCAGGACCAAAATTAAAACACCAGCGACTCGATTAAAGTTTGTCAGTCTGGCATGCACAATGCAATCGGAAGCAGGACTTCCAATCAAAACTCTCCAGAGTCGCACGTTCCCTGACCGCTGGTCAAGGGGAACGAAGCCTCCCGGTACGAGGTTGTAGCATTTTCGAGCACTAAGACAAAGAAACTAACCAACTTGAGTTTAAAAAGAGACAATGCTGCCTAAAAAAAACACAAGAAACAAAAACCTGGAAAAATTGGACAGGTAAAGAGACAATGGGCGCATTCCGTCCAANACACTAATTCTTTAATTATACCGCAGGGCGACAGATAATAAATGAAATTCATTTGAAAGCTTGACTCCTGGCCTTTTTCATGATATCAGTCGATAGTTTCTACATTTTTAAAAAATCACAAGTCGTGAAAAAAACAGTGTCATGAACAAAATTTGCGCACGCCCATATTGAGAAGACCTGATGAAACCTTTTCAAGAAAAGTTAGAGTTGTAATATCCTTGCATATACTACGATACCTTTGTATCAAAACGGACACCTATTTAAGCAGTTTGTCTTTGACATTACATTCTTCTCAGTTTTTCTCGCAGAGTGTTAATGGTTGCTTCTTGTTCTTGTTGTTTTCGTCTTGCTTCCTCTATCTGAGCTTGTAGTTCTCTTTGCTGTCGTGAATATTTCTCCTTTTCTGCTGCCGTCCTTTCCCTTGCTGCACGCACTGCAGCTTCTGTCTGCTCTCTTTGTGACCGCATCTGTTCATCTTTCATACGTTTAAGCTCTCTTTCCTCTTCAATGTGTTCCTGTTCCAAGAGAGCAATCTGGTAATAATATATAAATTAGTGAATACTTTGAGGACGAGTTGATTAAG